CCGGCGGCGGCGGGGGCGGCAGAGCGGGCGATGGCGGCGGCAGGGCGGGCGGCAGCAGCAGCGGCGATGGCGTTGGGGAGGGGGAGAACCCCGGAAGAGGAAGAAGAAGAGGAAGAAGAAGAAGAGGAAGAAGAAGAAGAGGAGAGGGAACGGCGTCGTTTCTGGCCCACAATTTGAGCAGGGGGAGGGGCAGGAGCGGCTGCGAGTTAGCAATGTCTTGGAGAGCTAAAGAACAGATAAAACAAGGCCAAGTTCGGCGAAGGTGTGAGAGGTTGGACGAAGAACTCACGCTCAGGACCATCTACGTTGTTGTCCTCTACACTAATCACCTCCACATCATCATCCGGGTATTCTTCTAACTCGCTTTCACCCTCACTATCGATCCTACCCTCCCCATCATCATCATCCTCACTTTCTTCGGTGTCGGGTCGATCACCCGACTCCGAGCCCCCACTGAGCGAGTCCTGGTCGGAGGAGGACGGAGACTCACCAGGACGAAAGGCGGGCGTCCTACGGCGAGGAGTGGCGGCAGGAGGAGGCCCTCCAGGAGAACCCGTTACGGGGACGGGAGAACCAGACACGGGGGAGGGAGAACCAGCGGAGGGAGAGGCGCCAGACGGCTCCCCCAGAGAGAGAGTGCCGAGGCCGAGGGAGGAGACTTGGCGAGATCTGTCGCCGAAAGAAACTGAACATCAGCCAAGTTCGGCGAGGTAGGGTGAGTATCGATGAAAACTCACGAGCAGATGACACCATACCACCAAAGTTCCTCATGGCGGCGAAAGGGCTGGGTGTAGGAGTAGAAGGGGCCATGACGTTAAGATATTTAAAAGAGAATAAAACTCGAGGCGATGATTCAAGGTAACAAATCTGTTTTCTAGGTAAGAGAGATAGAAAGTTTTGAAAGCAGATGGGAAAAAGAGAGAAGCTCGACGAACTGCTCAGTATTTAGTATAATCAAACCTAACCCCTCGTCGTCAACATGCAGCAAACTTTGCGTTTCATCAACAAAAGGCATCGCAGGGACGATCAAAATTCCCACGCTATAGTGTCTCATCTCAATATAAGCGAGGGTTACTTCGACAAACAACGGTGTTGTTCGGCTGCCATTCAGGAAGCGTGTCTCACCTACAAAAGACACAGGGCTTCTTACGGCAAACCTCGACGAAGTTAGGGGAGTCTCATTGTCGGGTTCTGGAGTGAAAGGAGGCCCAACTACGAAGTGCGGCGCAAAGAGCAGAAGAGTGAAGGTTGGTCGTGGGGAGGGAGAGAATGGGGGTACTACGCTGCTAAGTTCTCTTGCCACGACAGAGGTGTAATCGCTCACGAGGACGTTCGCGGCTAAAGAAGGGGGCGACTGTCACGAACTACGTCGTGACACCTCGATTACTCCACCAACAATGACCCTCCTTTGGCCATCAAAACCCCATCACGCCTTAACCTCTTTACTCTACACGTAACTCAGGACTTCTGACACCAAGTACGGCGAAGTTAGACGGAGTTAGGCTAAGTAGGAACAATGGGAGCAGAAGTACGGCGAAGTTAGACGGGGTTAGGCTAAGTAGGGACAATGGGAGCAGAAGTGCGGCGATGTTAGGCGGAGTTAGGCTAAGTAGGGACAATGGGAGCAGAAGTGCGGCGATGTTAGGCGGAGTTAGTCGAAGGAGGAAGAGGATGGCCGAGGGCTCGGGGAAGTTGGACGAAGTGCGTTGAAGTACGTCAAAGCGCGAGAGGGTTGGATGAACGTCTAGGAGGAGTAGATAATATTAGCTGAGAAGATCGCTGAAGTTCTTCAGCGATCCTTGATTGTTGTCAGTAGTAAAAGACAAATAGAGATAGCTATACATCGGGATACATCGCCATCAATAGAACAAAGCCTTAGTTAGAGTAACTACGCCGAAGTACGCCGTAGTTACACTCCTTTCGACGTCTGCGCCCTCCTGGTTGGGTGAGACATCGACTCAGAAGCGTGAAGTTAGCCGAGGTTCGTCGACCGTCGGTCTATTAGGAAGAAGTTGCTCGACGGTCGTGACATTCCCCTTCTGTCTCACCAGTATAGCAGGCGAAGCCCATGGTGAGTCAGATTCTTCAATGACACCTTGTTCAAGGAGTTCAGCAATAGTTTCATCAATTACTTGTCTTCCAGCAGGAGAGGCATGGTAGGGGGCTTGAGAGATGGGAGAGGCATCTCCAGAGTCGATTGTCATCTCTGCCAGAGTTGTTGATCCTAGCTGCCGTGCTCCATAGCCAAAAGCCATGTAGTTGTTTTTCAGTACCTGGATGAGTTGTTGTTGTTGAGTGTTGGAGAGGGAGGGGTTGATTGAGAGGTCGTCAAGGGGAAAGTTGTCTTGGTGGGTTTTGTTATTAAAGTGTGTCGTAATGTTGTGGGTGTCATGATGGGTCAAGTGAGAAATAGGAAGGGTTGAAGAAATAGCTGGGAAAGATTGTCCAATTTTTGTACCAACTTTAAGGGTTATTGGTTTGTTGCCAAGATGAACAATATGAGCAAAATGGGTGGGATCTTTTGAGTTGCCAACAGATCTTCCAACATATAAGTAGGCTCCAAGTGATTTTGGATCTACTACATAGAATGGAGTGGTTGGGAGATCATCAGTAACAATCCCAACTCTATGTTGATAACCAGGTTGGAAGGTATAACTCTCTTTCAGTCTGATAGCACTGTCAGGAGATTTCCTTTCTACTGTTTGCCGTTCTGGTTGTTTACATGTGGTTGGTATGGTTCCGGGGATTGTCTTGAAATTAAGTGTATTGTTCGCAAGGTCAATGATGGCACCCATGGGTGATAAAATGTCATTCCCTATGATGATTTTTGTCAGTAAGTCAGGTACCAAGAAGAATGCTACTGGAACAGTGATATGATCTTGCTCTATCGAGATAAAGTTGAGATCAATTTCAATCCAGGCAACAGCATTATTCCTACCTAAGCCTCGCAGTTCAAACTTGTCAAGAGGGTTTGTCTTAACATTGGGTAAGTACTGTTTAGCATAGTCAACATCCATCAGTGATATCGAAGATCCTGAATCAATGCAGACTCGGTGTAAAGGAGCATTTGCTGCATCTGATTTCAACTTTGCAAGAGAGAAGACTGGTGTCTTATCTTTATGAGCATCTTGCAATGTCAATCCTTCTAGGTCTGGCATTCTGTCAACCTGGTCCTTGGCCTTGATGTGGATGTGGCGGTAGGACTGATCATAAGCTCTTGGCTGAACAGAATTTACTGATGGTGTCTCACCTTCCACTGGAATTGAAGTATTCGTGGTGGGGCGAGAGTTGTTGCGAGGTTGCCATTTGTTACCGTTGTTGTTAGGAATGGAGTTGGGGAAGGTTTGTCGAGGGGGAAAACGATTGGTGTTAGGGTTAGGAGTGGGTGGTGGTGGGGCAGAGGTTGTTGGGCGGGGAAGTGACTGTGATGGATTACTTTGGGGAGGCTTATTTGGGCAGTCTCGCCTCCAGTGATATCCACCACAGACACATGGAGTGCGGGGAACAGATGTGGTTTGATTGCTGTTGTAAGCTCGAGGTAGTCCAGAAGTTGAGTTTGTTGATGTGTTTCGTGTAGTGTTGAAGCGATCTATAGATATGTTAGCATTATTGTCTTATCCCCAAAGGGTAAGCAAGGTGACTGAGATGGGGCTGTAACCCAATACTTGTCTCGGGCTCGTAGAGCTTGAGGAGTATACAGAGGGTGACAAGGGACTGAGGGAACTGAGGGAACTGAGAGAACTGCAAGATGTCAGGCTGGATCTGACTGGACTGACAAGTTGAGAATGAGATTCAACAAGAGATTCATAGGTGGGGAACAACCTGTTTGGAGGGGGTTTATATCCACAGCAAAACAGGCTGAACTGCAAAACTACAACAATAAGCTACGGAAGAACTGCTAAACATATTTGCAATTCTCTTCAAGAGAATTGGCAATCCTGACATGTGAAACTAAGAACAATAGGCAAAGGACCCAGGGGTCCAGGGGTAACTGTTACAGGTTCATGTGTGCGACAAGGAACAATAGACAGAGGACACAGGAGTCCAGGGGTAAGTGTGTCAAGCATGTGAACACAAAGGGGAACAATAGATGAAGGGCACAGGGGTTCAGGGGTAGGTGTTTCATGTGTGGGAGTGTAAGAGATGACAATAGGGATTGTTGATGGAGATCAAGAACAATAAACCTAAGCCAAAGGGGGTCAGGGGAAGTGTTCCAGATGTGTTTCAAGTGTGGGAACACGGGAAAAGACTATCTTAGGTGGCAAGTAGGTGATGTATGACAGGGGGGAACGAGACAGAGGAAGGGGGGACCGAAGACACTCGGCAGGTTGTTTTCACTTGCTGGACTGATCTGAATACTCAAAGCAAACTAGCAGGATACTCTCACTTCTATCAGGTGGGACTGGATGGGGTCAAGTGAATAGACATGCATGTAGAATGCAAGGAAATTTGTATGCACGATGTGGACCATGAATTGAATTGAAAGATCGGAAGGCTCGTTCGTTCCACGATCCAGGATCCGCGACTTAACCTGGGCCTTTACAGCGTCGAGATAGTGCCATTGGATTTTTTCCGCGTTCACCTCATTTTCATTTTGTCACTTCAATGCATCTCCTCATTCCTGAGATACTGTATATAAATCCAAGGGAAATGAACAGTCTCTAAACAATGCAGGCACACCTACTATGTCCTAGGAGACTGCTAGAGCCACCAGGACATCAGGTAACAGACAGCAACACATAATCAAGTCAATAATGAGCTCATGAGTAGCTAGCTAGTGACTACCTCCCTCAAGCTACAAATCATGTTGTCTGCAGCCATTGAGCCATTCAAGTCTATGCATTTGAATATATGTCATGGAGAGCAAGATGAGCAAAGTGTATGAGCAAAGTGAAGTGATAAAAGGTTGAGGTCATGTTAGGTGACAAGGTTGAGGTGGAAGTCCTTGGCAGGAAGGAGGGTGGAAGTCGAGCTGTCAAGTGTCGTATGTGTGTGGCACTATGTCTACAGTGGTCTCATTTTTCAGATCTTCAATCAAGCACATTTGGGTCATGAATACCATACTGGGAGGTAGCCACGGGCATGCTGATCATTCTGGTGGTCTCAGATCCGTTCTAAATGCATGCATGGATGAGGTAGAGCAAGGAAGAGTTTGGAAGTCAAACTCGTTTGATGAAGTTCAAATCAAAAACGCCGTGGCACTAAGTCGACGCCGTAGACTTCCCGGCCACCGTAACATTCATCGTGGGTGCCACAACGCACTTTTCGGTCATCCTTTCTACTCGATTACCACCACACCGTGAACGATGAACGATGGCGATGAACGATGAACGATGAGAACAGTACTCGAGTCGAGCGACGATGACTCTTCCTCTCTGCTTCCCCTTGTGGTGTTGGGTAAGAAATGGCAGGTAAGTTTCTCCATTTATGGTCTTCGCTTTAGTCGTCGCTGACATTCTCAGGCTGTGGGGCCCTTTTCCAGGTTCGTTCTCCTCTCTCTTTTCTCTTATATGGGAAAGCTGACGTATCAGTGGGATGAGAGAGCATCCCTTCGCTTATTCGCCTTTGTCCGCTTCCATCGGTGATGATGATGATGACGCAGATATAGCGTTTGCTCGTTTACCCTACGACTTCCATCAGACATGGCCTTCCGAGATGGGGGTTGGAGGAAGAGTAGGATGGACCGAATTTCAATCTGATTCTCAGGGTTGGGTGGCGGTAAAATATCCCCATATCGAGTCAGTGGTACTTCTTCCTAAAGCAATGAAGATGGAGCTGATGGAAGAGGTGGAAACAGCTAAGAGCGGATCATGGTTGGGCAGCACTTCAATTCCAATCGTTCCTTCGAACTTCACTTTCCATTCCTTCTCTCAATAATTGCTCTGAAACTCCTCTCTTGATCGATTTAATACAAGGTACAGAGTTCGCTTTGATCGACATTCAGGAACCTACGACTCCGACTGTATGGTACGCTGGAGACGTATACGATTTCGGGGGTACCTCGGCCGGTAGACGTGGCAAGGGAGATGAAGAACTATCCCACTTCGCCCGATCGCTAGCTGTCAAACCAGGACAATATACTCTACTGGTCAGGGTCATGTATGAAATTCGTATGTTTGGAGATCCTCATAACTTTCCGCCGGTCATACGACTTCGAGTGAGAGTGAAAGTCGACGATGGCAAGGTGGAATTGGGGAAGGGGCAAAATATAATGCCCGATTTGGTGGATGGGTGGTTTATGGGGAGTTGGATGTCGATACCTCTTCGTATTCCAGAAGGCTGTGACGATGTCTCTGTGATAGCCACGGATACTGCAACCCACCAGATTGACCTCGAGATGAGTCGTATTGTCACTGTTCGCTCTGGCCAAACGAGACCGGTATCAATCAAGATCTACCAACATGGACCAATCGAGAAGTCGTTACTAGCACTAAAGCTAATCTTCATCTTGAAGTCCGAAGGGCCTGATCGTACCGAGTCAATGTCGATTCCTCTGAAGCATCATACTTTGACGCAACCAGGGCCATTCAAGATGACACACGCAATATCGGATGGTCACATGCCCGCTCTCGTATCATATGCGATGGTAGTGCCTCCACCATTTATCAACCCAACCACACTCCAACCTCCCCCCGTGATCCTCGCTCTGCATGGCGCCGGTGTGGAGGCCTCCAGCCCGTCCTGGACGAAAGCTATGCCTAGACGACAAGATACTTGGGCGATACTTCCCACCGGTAAGACGGAATGGGGAGAAGATTGGCATGGTGGTAGTATGACCGATTCTTGGAGCGCCAGAGATTCCTTACAAGAAAACTTGACTAAAATCGGAGTAAAAGTATCCGATCAGACCATGTAAGCTTCATCGCAAATTTGTTCGATAAAGCTCATGACAGACTGCTAGGACATTCGAATGGAGGTCAAGGTGCTTGGCATCTGGCAGCTCGATATCCTGATCGTGTGATCGGAGGTAAGCTACGGACCTCCCCGGGGTCAATGCTGACCACCAGTCATTCCGGCTGCTGGATATCTGAAAATTCAAGATTATGTTCCCTACCTTCATCTGTACGTCTTTAATATTGAGCAGAGGCTGATTTCAGAACATCAAATCACTATGCCGATCCGGCCTTGATGGGCATTTTGATGTCGGCACTCACACCTTACAACAACGATTTGTACGCCTCAAATCTCAGTAATATCCCGATTTTGGCCATACATGGATCGCAAGACGACAACGTTCCTCCACGACATAGTCGCGAACACGTCGCGCTCATCTCTGCCTGGGAGGGTAAGAATGACATCAAGTTGTTGGAGGTACCAGGAAGAGGACATTGGTGGAACGAGATATTCGCCCTTCCTGAAGTTGGGCAATTTCTCGATACACTGCGACCACGGAAGGCGGATGAGGAACGGAAAGAAGGGTTCACGTTGACAACTGCCAACCCTGATGAGACCGGGTCAAGGGCAGGCATACGAATAGTGGAGCTACAGACCCCGGGCAGATTGGCTAGGCTTGATGTTAACGCCCGACAGTGGAGGAATGGATCACGAATACCGGAGCTCGATTTGAGAAGCACCAATGTGAAGCGGATAGAAATTACTTCGGGTCGAGGTGCAGGGGTATTCGTGAAGTCAAAGCAAACGTGGGAGGTGAGTCGCTTCCTCTATCTCGTTGCACAAGAAATTGATATGGTAGGAAGAAATGTCACCCTATCAGCCTCGAGCGTATGGACCGATGATTCGTCTACTAGCTTCGACGGCTCCCATTGCTTTTGTCATCGGACGTGACGTTCAGCATTTGAACATCGCCAAGAGATTAGCGCATGATCTGTATGTGTACCAGAGGCAAGATTCGGAGATCTTATCGGATGGAGATGCTTTACTACGAATAGCGCAAGACGAGTTGCTTGGGAGTATTGTTTCGATCGGTCGACCAGAAGATAATCGTCTGACGGATTATCTGCTCAAACAATGTAAGATCCCACTGGCTTTCCCAACGAAATCAGTCATGACCTTGAATGACGAACTTGTCTATGAAGCAGGAGCAGGGATTATCACGTTACATCCTCATCCCACTCACCGACGAGCGTTGGCGTGTATCATAGCTGGGAACGATGCGTTGGGATTGGAGTTGGCGGCGAGACTTTTCCCCATCCGCACTGGCGTTCCTGTAAGTATGTCCACTGCATGCGATGGCTCTGACTGATATGTAGATACCAGATTGGGTCATCATTGGAAGACAAGCTACTTGGAAAGCCGCCGGTGGATTCATCGGTGCGGGGTGAGTAGTGTTCCATTTGGAGTGGGAAAATGGACTGACGCGCCAGGTTCTGGGGTGCCGAATGGGGATGGAATGAGGCCATGTCATGGATGGACCGGTAGTACCGGTGTTCCTGTACGATGTGTTAGTTGCTAGCCTAGCTGCTAGCTGCTAGTTGTATATCTTTGCTGTGCTGTTTGGAAGTGTCAAGTGCCCGTGTAGTCGATGTATACGATTACATAAAATGCATGTGACAGGTCAAAGGGGATAAGTTGCATGAGATATGAGGCAATGGTGAAATTCAATGGTTATATGGTGCACCCTCAAAGGGGTCGTTGCGCACTGATCGCATGTGATTTTGCCGTAAAATCATCTTCATTTCCCCCCCGCACTACTCACTCACTCACTGATCACTCACTTTCCACCAAAGTGACTTGTTTCTCTCTTTATATCCTCATAAACTTCACATCCCCTATCTCTCTTTCTTTGTTTCTTCTACATCATTATACTCGATCGGATACTGAGGCGTGTTCGTTAAGGCTTGGTTCAAAGCACACTATCCACTGCCATCAGTCGTCTCGTGGATATAACATGTCCAAGGTGCGTCCTTCCCCATCCTTACCGCATGTCGCACATACATACATCATCGTTTAGCTGATTGATCAGGCTCAATTTCTGAGAGAATACAAGTTGGTGGTTGTGGGAGGTGGTGGTGAGTCCTTCCTTCCTTCCTCTATTACTACTTTTCGTTGTCTACAGAGTGAATTCCCTTGGCTTGCATATGTTTTGGACATTGAGCTCCTATGATGACAATCTTCACCCTAGCTACAGTCCTATAATCCTACATCTACGCGCTCTCCCCTCCTTGATACCTTGTGATACCGGGGACTCCCACTTGGTGCTCAGTGAGAAAGCGGTAGCGGAGCAGCAGTGAGGGAGGTGGTCATGGCGACGCTTGGACCATTACTGAAATCATTAGGTGTCGGCAAATCTGCTTTAACAATCCAATTCATTCAATCACATGTAAGTTTAATCTCGACTTCATGAAGCTAGCTGACCCTTCAGTTCGTGGACGAGTAAGTTCTCCTTGTCGACGTTTTGGTGAAGATTTTGAATGGACCAAACGCTGATACACTTCACAGATATGATCCTACCATCGGTCCGTCAATCCGTTCACGTAAAGATGTAAAATTGATCAATTAGAGGATTCGTACCGCAAACAATGTGTCATCGATGATGAAGTTGCGTTATTAGACGTTTTGGATACTGCTGGACAAGAGGAATATGGTGCCATGAGAGAACAGTACATGCGGACGGGTGAGTTGGTCTCCATTTTGTGTCGATCCTTTCAATATCATGGTCATCATCTCTCTCCATCCCTTTTGACATATCGGCCGGTGAGATCAGCATGACGGAGAAATCGATGGGTGTTGATGATGCTTAGAGCTGACTTTTAGGTGAAGGATTCTTGCTAGTGTATTCCATCACATCACGTAGCTCCTTCGAAGAAGTATCAACCTTCCATCAACAAATTCTTCGAGTGAGTTTGTCATTTCCTTTCTCTTCTCTTTCTCTTTTTTCAGGTTTCACAGTGACAATCATGTACTCATGCTTCAGGTCAAAGATAAAGACTATTTCCCCGTTTTATTGGTAGGTAACAAGATAGATCTTGAATATGAACGTCAAGTCCAAGTTTCAGGTCAGCCTCATCACTTGCCCATATCCCTTCATGACTGATCATTCAGAGGGTCGTGAATTAGCCAAACGTTTTGGAGCTGCTTTCGTGGAGACATCGGCAAAGAACAGATTAAACGTGGATGAGGCATTCCATTCTCTTGTTAGAACTATCAGGAGGTATCAAAAAGTGAGTTACTGCCATTCAAGTCTGATTGTCTCTCCGCTGACAACCAAGGATTCTGGACCTGTCCCTGGGAATTCTCCACCGGGAAGGACCAACACTGGAGGTGTAGGTGGAAGACCCAATGAGAAACACGATGATCAAGTGGAGAAGGGTTGTTGTGGAGGTTGTATCATCCTGTGAGGATGTTGTATGTGTCAGATGAGGGGTAGGGGTGGAAAAGAAGGAATGATTGCGAGGGTACAAAACGTTGTCTTGTGCATAGACTTATTGAAGTTGGAACTACTTGGGTAAGTTATGTGTATACCAAATAGGTCTGATCTGCTATGTCTAATGATGTCTGCTGGACACTTATTGCATCTTCGCTGCTGGCCCATGGCCCTGCATGTACCGTCGCTACTTTGGCTGGTAGCGGAAATCCCGGCCACCGATCCAGGCCACCGATGATCACCGAAGGAAAAGTCGGTTTTATCCCAATTGTTCACTCTCTCACTTTGCTTTCCTCCCCTTCTCAAAGCGATTCTCTCAAAAGACATCTGCTCGCTGACGTACCGGATAGTGTGTGGAATTCTAAGCACCATGCTACCCACATCACACCTTTGCTCGACTACAGCAGGCCCATCAACTTTCCCCACACCGACTCAAACTACCCGTCGTCGTGTCCGTTCCATTCCAGCAGAACCTCTCGCATCACCAAAACCGAACCCTCGGGCCAAGAGTCTTGTCGATTCTTTCAGATGTGAGCTTCCGCTTGTGTGTGGTGGAGTCAAAGGCTGACATGTAGCTCTCTCACCCAGAACGAGAATGTTATTCGGTTTGACAATGGGAGTAGTGGGAATAGGATGGTGGATGGCGGATAAGATGGTACCTCCTACTGCTAAAGATGAAAAGCCTTTGATTAGTGTGAGGATTGTGGACAGGGTTTCTTCGAATTCCTGTGAGTTACTCTCTCCTCTGTCCTCTTTCTCTTTCTTTTCTGCTTTTTCTCCCCTTCTTTCTCAGAGATCTCTACTCGTACTTGTTAGAGTGCTCTACTGTTGTGTGAAGAGACTAACTTACACCCTCTCCCTCATCTATCGGTCCTCTCATGGAACCCACTGATAGGAATCCTGCGTCGTAACTTGACTGACCAATGTACCTCTTTTAGCAAAGGTTCCAGAAGTATGATAGTAACATCACTGACTAGCAGAGAATATCATCCACATGCACTATATATTTAAATACTACTCTACTCCTCCTACCATAACCTGTACTCATCTAAATCCTACCACCAGGTCTATCCCATGGTCTATCCCTATCTGCTAATTCTATCCCTCTTGATAAACTAGTTTGATAATAACTAGGTAACCAAACACTTTCACCTTCTCTTCTAACACTCCCATTTCTTTCTTCTTCCCTATCACTTTCTTCCCTCTCTCTTCTATTTTTTCTACCAGGTGAAATCCTAGGACTACCTTCTTGTCCATTCATGTCATTTCTTTGTAAATTCCGACTTTCTCTCCTCATCATTTCCCTATAAGCATTAACTATTTCCCTCGTACCCATTCCAGCTCCACCTATCGTTGATTCTAAAGCAGGAACAGTAGATATTCCATCTACTCCATCACCATATCTATCTCCTGTTGATATTTGTCTACGGGAAGAATGATCAACTCGTGGAGATGTACCAATCATCTGTGAAGTGTTGCTAGATATTTGTTGGGAATTACCAAATAATCTAGGTGGAGAACGTGGTGAAATTTGATCAAATGGTGGTGGATCAGCATAAAGTATATGATGTGGTTTTAATCCCATCCTTGCTAAACCATCTTCATAAGTTACCATTACTATTTCTTCACTTTCACTTCTTAAATCTTTCGATCTAGCACTCATTGGATCTTTATCTTTAGGATTTATGAGATTTAAATGGTTTGTAGGACTTTTAGATTTCGGTTTTTTAAGTCTTGAAGAAACTGATCCTGAAGGAGTTACAAGTGTCGCGTCTGTTGATGCTGATGGAGTTGTAGGTTCGTGAGAATGAAATAATTTGGTCGAGAAGGAAAATGGGATGGAAATTGTTGAATGATATTTTCGAAGATGACGTATGAGAAAGTAAAGTAAAGTGATAAGGAGTAAAAGAACTGCAAGACCGGCTGTAGCTATGGCTGCGAGTTCAACTGTGAGTTAGTGAGTTTATTCTTCCTTGGTTTTCTTCTACCCTGTTTCGCCTTTTCTTCTCTCCTTCCTTCACGTCCACCAAACTCTCCCTTCTCTCAAATGGTAATGACCAGTCCTCATCCTCTGAAACGCGACGTCGCATCACATGTGACATGGTCATCTCCAAAGGCTTATCTCACTCATCTCGTCGTGGGGAATGTGACGACGTCTTGTCGACGACCCAGTAGGAAGGACAAGGGAAAGTTAATGACATCGAAAAGAAAATGTTGGGAACTCACGTGCATCTAGATGCTTCAGGTTCATGGCCTCATCCTCTCTTCCCAAAACAACCCCTCTTATTTGACCGTATTCAAATTACCTTCGTATACTCAATCGATAAGTTCCAAAATTCAACAAGAAAGCAAACATGGACAAGTTGACAAACACGCTCCACGAGTAGTGAGAATCCACTATTTCCTCAATCCGTATTCTCAAACATGACCTCCTGAACCAGATCAAAGGAACATTCAACCTCAATGACCCCTTGTTCTCTTACTTTACACCATGACAAAGTCCGAGTCCGTCAAAGGAAGGTGAACCGGTACGGGGTTTTAAAGAAGATCGCTGTTTCCTTTTTTTCTCGTTTTCTCACCAGCCACCGGTCTTATGGTGCTGAATGATTCCCATCCCGACCCGTGAGATCCTTTGACGTCTGCGCGGTGCATAACGAAAAGCTTGGACTGGGTAAATGAGTGAAACGCCTTTGGTGAGTTTCAAATTGACTTGTGATTGGTCAGTGGTCAGGACAATCAGATTTGACGACTTGTTATTGAGATAAGAGATACATTTGAAAGATATCACTGACTATGGCATACACACACACTTACCTTGTCCTTTTTTCCGCTTTTAAGCACTCATCTTCGAGAATGTCCTAAACCTATGTGATAACCGCAAGATCTGCTCGAGATGGATGTATTGGAACGTGAGGGGCTCAGACCAAGAGAGCACCGCCGATCACACCGAGGAATAGAGTTCCTACCACGGCAAAAGGCATCATGACTGAACCCCTTTCAGCCCCCGACCCACTGGATGCCGCGGCCGAAGAGGTCGAAGCGGGTACAGAAGTGGTCGATACGCCCGACGGGGTGGTTTCTAATCATCAACCAGTGGTCAGAAGAGGGAGAAAAAAAGGAAAGACATACGTCCGAATGAGGAACCGCATTGCGAGGTCAAAGCGCTCCCTACAGGGGACGAAGAGATGGTCGCATTGGCCGAAAGTGCCTCAAGGTAGATCCTGTAAATGTCAGCGTTACAACAGGGAGGGAGGGGAGAAAGAACTGACTGTTCAACACAGCCAGTGCATAGGTTTCCGGAACCCAAAGCGGATGAGACGGTTGAGAGAGCGGTACTATCACCCGAAAGAAGAGAAGTCAGGAACGAAGTGGTGATTTGAGAGTTGGTGTCGTTTTGAATAGTTGTAAGAGTTTCGGTCACACAGTAACCACTGGTTCTGCAGGTCAGCTTTTCTGATGGTAGCAATCATTTTATGTCATATCCTTGAAAGAATCACTGCACCGATGACAGTAGACGAGACGTCAAGAAAACTTGGACATTTTTGTTTTTGCCCAGACGGAAACGGTATGACATGTCGAGAAGAGGATGAGAGTTGAGTCTTGGGACAACACTAGAGAAGGAATGGACACCCACGTAGAATTTTTTGAACATCCCGCACCGTAGATCTGAGGATAAGACTTTAGGATAGTCAATAACCCATCAATCTCAGTAGCACCGGTCCCTCCTGCGGAAATGTCCGAAGAACAAGCAGACGATACGGAACTTTGTGCACTTGACAAAGTAGAGTTATCACATGTCGGTGTGGAAGAAGCGCAAAGCGTGGACAAGTAAGCGTTAAGAGGATCGATGATGGATCCATTTGTCTAAACTCAGCATGAGACATTGTTAACAATTTGAAGAACCCACGCTGAGCACGGGTAAAAGACTTGTCAAAGCTAAACAAGAACCGACGGAACCAATCGCCAATAAACCAACTTGAGCTTCACATCCTCTATTCTCATTAGCTGACAAGGATATATAGGATTGCTCGATCGACTAACGCTGAGAGGCTGACAAATTAGCTGAAATATCAAAGGATCGGGATGGAAACTCACGCGTTGACTGACAACACTCCTACTGACACACCGACGAGAACAGTATGGACACGCATATCGACAGTGAGATCACAAAGTAGACTTCAAGCCGACTAAAGTTGATGGATATAGGGGAGGGAGAGACGTTGTCAAGCTGGAGATTGAGATATTTGGGACGATGTGGTGAGTGAAGATCTCCGTGACGTCAATGGAACGAAAGCGTTTCACACTTGACCGAGAGTTCAATGCCGATTTATAATAAATAGATGATTTTGTAGATCGACGTCGAAGAACACGGTGCACAGGATCGGATCTGGAAGTGATATGGAAGACTGCGTGAAGGGGGGAGTTCGTGGTGACGAGAGAGGCAGGTCAGCCTTACAAAAGCGCAGCCGCCCAACCCACTCAACCACACAGCCTTTTCAACGCGGAGCCCCACACTTGGCAACGTCACGTGACATCAAACATCTCTCTAACTCGTCAAGTTGTCCAGTCGATGTCGAATACGACCACTCCTTGTGCTTCAGTAGACAACAGTAATTGATTGAACATGGAACAAGATCCCTCACCGTCCCGCCTTGGCCCAGTTATTTTAGCTTCCAAACCGTTGAATGGGTTCGCCCCTTTCTCCTCTTACGGCAATCTCGAATGGAATGACGACGGGCAATGTCTGTTCGTTTCGAAACGATCTGTCTCCATCATCGTTCGTTTTCTTTTCTTTCTTTCTTTCTTCTACTTGTCCTGCTGATAGGCTACAGACACCACACTTGACATCTTCACAGAATGCCCCACCTCTGGAGACGGAGCTGGATAGCGACGACGATGATCATCCAGAACCTCTCAGTGGGGCGACGAACAAAAGCGTATCTGTTCAACAAGCCGACAGATCCGATAGGACCTCTCGTAGAGGGAAACATAGAGTGGAACGACCTGAGAAGGGTGAAATACCTCTATGGATGACAGGAGTGGAGATTGAGCGTGTGGGTGAGAAAGAAGAGCAATATGGTCTCAGCGAATTAGGCGGTTGGTCTATCTTTGGAGCTGGCCAAGCTGATGGAAAGGTGTGGCTACAGGTCTTCTTGACGAAAAAGAACTCAGTGCAAAGTCGGCGATCTGGTCACCATCTGGCTTGAATGATTTAGGAGGGTGAGCTGATCCATGTTGTGTGAATGTTGACAGTAGTTGACGGAATAGATGTTTGTTGGTCATCATGAGAAGCACTATGCAGGTATCCGTCTATGCTCCAGGACGTGATCCTCACTTCAGTCAATGGATAGAGGTATGTACTTCCTCAGGAGCTTGTACCACTGACGACTGATGTGATGGATTGCGGATCTAACGGCTCTCGCAAGGTCTTTCATCACTCCTGAAGACAAGGATGGGACGCTCTCCATACATCAAATGTTATGTCTTCGTGCTTGCTGTACGTATTCCACGAATAACCAAAGCGTAAGTTTGAGAAGAAGTTGATCTTGCGAGGTATGAGCTGGTCCAAAGCTGTACCCTTACCCTCAACGGTCGGGCTGGACGGGAGTCTACTCGCTATAGCCGACAGAGCGGGATATGTGGCCTTTTGGACGTAAGTCAGCATTTTCATGATATAATGGAATTTTGCTGAGATAGCAGATATGGCGAAGATAGAAGATTTCATCGTGAATACTACGAGCAAATCAGCGACGATTGGCCATCTCATCTCGCCTGGTCAGATTGGCGTCAAGTAGACGACTACATTTGTACAATTTTTCTTTCTTTAATTGCGCTTTGGTTGATCTGATTGCAGGTGAAGCTGATCTAACTATGTCATTGACAGATGGATCTGTGATGCTCTTGCCGATGCAACGTAATTTTGACCCTGAAATGAGGAGGTGGACCTTAGAGCTTGGGGAGGTTCAAAGTGTTTCGACTCAGGACAAGAGGGTCATCACCGCGATAAGATGGATCGACGTGAGTTAATACGAGCTCCTCCATTTGGATAGATCTGATCGTCAGGATCTGTTGGTATGGACTAAAAGTTCCACTGTCCATTTTTGGTCACGGATTCGAACTCCTCGCAGAAAATGGGACGGGCTTCGGCAAGTCACATTACACCGCATTGGTGATTGGGCAGGAGCCAATTCTCTTTTCCCTTGTATTGGTGAGTTTTCGACCTCTCTCTTCCAGATCCAGCTAAGATGGTCAGGTATACAGGCTATCGCCGACAATTCAATACTCGTCACGTTGTCTAATTTGAGTACTCATCTCATCGAACATATCAATACCGAACCGACTATAGCATCTCCACAACGACTGTTCGACCTGACATTGTCTATGCGTGATGTTTTCTTGGAGACTTTGGGTGGACCGTACACGCTACAGAATCTCGATACTCAAAGCTTGACAGCTAGCACGGCCGGTTGGGCTGGTTTAGGTGGTCATGTGGCCATATGGGCGAGCGAGTGAGTTTTCGATATTTGCTACATGGCGATCTTAATCGTTGATGACAGGGCAATCAATTTTCATAATCAATTCACAGTGACAGAGGCTAAGAGACGCACTGTTCTCACTTTGACAGACTTTGGGTCCGCCTTACCTCAATACGGCAGAAGCGTGAGGGAACAGCTGGTTCAGATACTGGAAGGATCACTTAGACGTATGTTGATTGTTCCATGAGATGGACATATGTTGATGGTCATTAGTTCTGGACAAATCACCCACCGCCATCCTTGCACCTTTGACACTTCGTATCACAGCCGAACCTCGGACCTCGGGAGTCATCAATACCATAATCGAGACACTTTCCGCCAGGGCCACTTCGATCGTCCCTACGCCTTCGACGAGGCTTCGAGACGATCTGCGTCGTCTCTTGTGGTCCTCCACTGAACTCAACGCAAGGAGACTAGAGGTTGTCTTACTCTATTGGCTCATGGTAAGTCCCTGTGTCCATGTCGTGTTTCCGCTCACCCTCTTTCAGTCATTCTGCCCGGAAAGAAAGACCGACTTATCGAAATTACTGTCCGACGCTTCCAGATCAATCGACCAAAATTTCGTGGCAAGTCTTATCATGTGGGTTGCACCCCAGATGGAAGGTTACCAGGAAATGTCTCCTACAAGTAAAGATTACCAATTCCTCCGTCTACTTGTCAAAGCTTCATATGATGTGATCATCGATATGAACTCCCTGACAAGTGACATCATCACTATTTCCTCTACTACAGGTATGGGTACGGAGAGTGAGAGACAAGAAGTCAAAGATTTATGTCCTGTATGTGGAGAAGGGGTTGAGCCAATTGAAGAGGGGTATGCTTGCTCCAAAGGACATGAATGGAGTGAGTGTGATTTATTTTCGTTTTTTACTCTCTCTCTCCCATTTGTGTCAATCCTTCCTCTTTTGGATCTTTCATTCTGTTGGCGCCGTTATGTGCTTGTGAATCGGACCATCGAGTAACACGGCGCTGACACACAGCTCGATGCTCGGTCACGCGATTCTTGATCACACAACCTAACTATCGTATCTGTCTTTCTTGTCCCGCCATCGCCCTGCTTCCCGATCGACTCATCCGCACACCTATCGCGATCGACGAACGGGGTAAAGAGCGCGATTGGAAACGGTTCCGTACGCCTATCGATCGAACACGAGGAGACTGGTTGGTACAAGAGGTGTTGGAAGCGGCTGTGGTATGTGTACGATGTGGCGGACGATGGGCTAGGACAATGTGATATGATGTCATCTTTTCTTACTCTTCACGCATCGCTACGGTCATGTATGCACGATGTGGGAGTTGTTACGCGAGGAGTAATTGACGTACCCTCCCTTTCAAACGTTTCCGAGATCCAGTAAGCAGGGATTTGATCCAGACACCGTACATACACCGACCTCGAAAGGTCTGTCCCCTTCGGAATCCCAGTCTCGACGCTCGGGAGAGATCGCATTCCCCCACTTTGTCACTTTAGGTGGGGAACTTTGGCCACTGGCATTGCTCGGATATCAACTCATCAACTCATTCCCTCTCTCCAGTGACCCTTGATCCTATGAGCATGTGATTTGCCCTTCTGTATACTGGTACAGTACGGACAACCAGACGAAGAGTGAATGATCGTACACTCATCGTAAATCTGATCCACGTTCGTATCGCCTGACCGCCGACGCCGACGCCGGTGTAGTACTCATCCGAATAAATTGGGTTTCCTTTCAAAACTATACTTGCGACCTTCTCCGACCTCCGCTCCGTCTCACGTCCGGTGTAACATCAACAAATATATATATATATCAAGAACAGATCTCTACCATACTACACTTAGTTACCGAAGAACTGAATTTTGAAAGAATCTTACTTCGGTCACAATAATCAGAACAATCATGAGTTTGTTGCTGATCAAACATTCCTCTCGCGCCCTAAGGAATTTACCCCACCCGTCCTCGTTGTATGGGGCGTTACCGAGAGGGTTCGCTAGTAGTTCTAAATGGATGTTAGAAGAGAAGATAAAGGGACATGGGGCGAGTACTGCCCTTCGACCAGAAGTGAGGAAGAGGGAAGAGAACCAGGGTTTGTCGGAAAAAGTTGTAGGTGTGGAGAGTAAATTAGCTGAGGGATTACATTATTCTGGTGAGGAAATTCTCCCCTTGAACTTGTTTTTCTTTCTAAATATCTCCTCATTTTCCTCTTCTTCTCTTATTATCGATGACTAATCATCTCTATCTGAACGTGTTATGATTTCATCCCATCTCCACCTTGTCTTTTTACTTCGAAACATCAAGATATCGAGGTACGGAAGGGAGAAGTGATATATATGTCTTTACTTGAGTCGTTCATCCCATATCATCGTTCGATATTAGATGATGAGTATTGAGACATCATGGAGGAATATGAGAATATCAGGAAATGTTAATGTTTTAGATAAAATACCAGGACCAACAGCTATCAACGTTCTTTCCGATTTGACTCGAACTGGACCTTGGACAATGATGAACCCTATTTACACAGAAGAAGTATGTAACGTCATTTCATGTCAATGATAAGACTGAAGAATAGGAATTGGATTGTGTTCAGATCGTTCACAGACCAACGGTAACAATTGGTGATAAGCTTGCACACGGTTCGGTGACTTTGATCAGGTAGGTTGTTTCTCTCACCATCTTCACTTGTCTTTCCTTTCTCCGTCACCTATTCCCATCCGCTCTCTCACCTATGTACCTTCGCCACCACTTATTGTATGTTTTCCTTCACCTATCTCACCTCCTCCCTCACGTCTCCAACTTGACATTCACTTCTCTTACCGTGTCATTCACATTTTTCACTCTCTCCCTCGTATAAGTCTCATGATCCTACTTGTCTCTCCTTCTCGTGCTCAGTTCTTGGCCACCGAAATTGTATAGTGACGCGACCACAACTCACTAAAGTCACACGAAGTGAGTGGGATAACGGAGAAACTAACTCCGCAGGCGAATCTTCGATTGGGTGACAGGTTACAAAGCTTTACCCATACCTGAAGAAACCCTTCAACGAAATACTATACCTATCGAAGAACTGAGAGCCAAGGGATTATTGTTATCGGACAAAGCTTGGTTGATGCGGATCATACTCCTCGAGAGCTTTGCTGGGGTACCAGGGATGGTAGCGGGGACATTGAGGCATCTTAGGAGTTTACGACGCCTGGTATGTGCTGTTACTCTCATCTCATGCCCATCCCGTAGTGGTAGCTCGAGGCCCATACAATTGTAATCCACTCTTCGAATACATGGTCATCTATACATGGGAAGATGGTACAGCGGATAGTCTTTCCTGCTGGTGTTGTCTTCCGACCGGACAGGACTCAACATAGGTAGAGTGGAACCAATGCTGATTCACAGCGCCGTGACGGAGGATGGATTCATACTTTACTCGAAGAAGCCGAAAACGAACGAATGCACCTCCTGTAAGTGTTTTTCCAGAGCTCGAGCATCTCAACTGACCTCTTCAGCACATTCATGACCATCGCTCAACCTTCTTGGTTGACACGTGTTGCTGTCCTGGGCGCCCAGGGAGTCATGTACAACCTTCTCTTCGCAACTTATCTCATTACACCCAAAACGGCTCATCGTTTCGTGGCTGCACTGGAAGAAGAAGCGGTGAAAACTTAGTGAGTCGAGTCTTCCCCTCCCCTCTACGTGTAAGCCTGTATGATGAGGTGAGGCTGGTAAACTGACATTCAGTACACATTGTGTCGAAGATATGCAAAAGGGTCTAGTACCCGAATGGGACGACGTCCCCGCTCCACAAATAGCCATCGTCAGTCCTTCATTCCCTACGGATATCGAGAAGAATGCTAAAAGAGTCAGGATTACTGGCGTTTACCTCAGTCGGCTAAATTGATCGATGTGATAAGAGCTGTCAGAGCGGATGAAGCTACACATCGGTTTGTCAACCATTCCCTGGCCGATTTGGATCAGAAGAGGGATTTTAATCCTTTTGCATTAGGAGATGCGAGTCCAGAGATTAGGGGAACCAAAGCAGGGTGAGTCAGTCAATTATGTGATAGATGAAGCTGATGAGATAGATTCACTAGGGAAGAATCAGCAGCGTTTGTGAAGGAGACGCAGAGGAAGCTCTTGGGCGAATCCGCCCAAACACCCGTAGAGATCCCCCAGAGAAGCTGAGAGATATTCATCATCCATCATGAGCGATTACCTATATACATTTGTTGTAGCTCACTCCACTCATGTCATCGTGTTCGTCCCTACGCATCAGGGGTCCTGTTTTGCCCAGCAGTCAATGCGTCATGGAAAGAGAGTGCTTTTTTTGGCCATGACCTTGGTGTTTCAATGGAAGAATGTGATTCATGGGCCATAGAAAGACTTCCGGCTGTTTCATTGTCCTGGATAAAGGCAGCGGGAGCAGTTGTACTTTGACTGTTGCTTCCCGGTTGTTCACCCGAGGAGACGGGTCTGTTGAAATAATCACGCTGAAACGAGCTGGCGTCCAATATCGTCTGAATAGCGCTCGCCATTGCGTCACTTTCACCATAATTGATCGGTGGTGAGCTCTCTCGGGGTAAGTGTGGCGCCGAAGGACGTTTCGTGGAATTGTCAGAGGAGGACTGTCGAGTAGACGACGAAGCTTTTCGGTGAGCTGGGGACTTACTTTCGTTACCAACTGGGGAGAGCAGCGTGTAAAAAACCCAACGTTGATAGATTTGGGAGCCTTGTAACGGCGCCCCACCGCTTGTCCGAGTTACATGACTACATGGAGAGGGAGAGGATGGGGGAAACAAAGATATGTGGCTAGTCTCAGGTGAGCTTGTCACGAGCGCTTCTTCTGGTATGCCTGCTTTTTCAACAACTGATCGTATCAATGACTGTTTGGTGGTCAATACCCTCGACTCTTGCTGGTCAGGCTTCGAATTCTTTTGCTGACTTGTTGAGTGAAGGTCAGGATGGTATGACATTGGGATGCGTAGTAGACGGTAGGAGTTTGAATAGTTTTTATCAAAGTCGACGTTGCCCGGATGAATAGTCCGTTAAGGGATCTGTACTGTATATCTTGTTCTCTACTTTGTTAGACTTAAAAGGTTGAAGCCTACTTACATATCCTCTAGATTATCCACTTTCCCACCGTTCGCCTTCTCGTCGGAGTCTCTACTTGATCACTTTCCGATTGCGGAAACAACTCTAAAGACTTACACGTCATCGTTCTCACGGAAAGAAAATTTAGCTTTCTCAGATCTGACAACGCCTCTATTGTGGTCGATTTTGCTGGAGATAACATAGGGAAGTGGATAGCTGTTATCGACCGGAATCAAGGAAGAAGATGTGTTTTTGATAATTTGTGCAAGGTCCAGTCGACGACGACTTGGCGCACAACCACTTTCGTCTTCGGGCACAACCCCCGAGTTAGGCATGCATAAATTTCCAACGGAAGCAGATAGGCGTGCACAAAGCTCGAGCCTCATTCTTCTCTGACATTCAACTTTGACCATTGATCTTGACCTGGTTCACGTCATATCCACCACTTTTACATCCTATAACCCCTCAAACCCTCTGGAAAAGGATTCTTCTCATCTGTACGAGCATTTTGATACCTGAATCACTGCTTAACACTGCCTCTAATACTTCGCCGTGAGATTTCACTTCCAAATCATCCCCCCAGATCAATGCTGATGTTGAAGGAGATATTCTGACCACTTTTCATACCACACAATGTCTGCTTCTCAGCCCATCGAGATCTCAGACTCCTCCAGTGACGACAGCTTTGACTACACCCTTCCCCCGTCTCTCCCTCCTCTGAAAATTGAGCCCTCATCACCGGACACCATTATTCCTGAAACCCAACCTTCGTCTTCGGTACCAACCTCGCCCACGCCTTCTGTTGTTGATGTTCGACCAAGATCTCTCTCTCCTGACGAAGAAGGATCAGTTACCTCCTCTCTGCGAGCTTTAGAAGACCATTTGGATCAGAAAACCGACTCAGAAGAAAGCTCAGAAGGAGAAACCCAAGGTACCATGTCAAATATTGATGTCGACGAATTTGGTCCACATGAACGACTACCTACTCTGGTTCACCCGCCCTTACGATTATCTCCTCAGCCAAATATCAACCAGGGTCGTGAGAAACTGCTTAAACTAGCTGCAGAGTTGGATTTTGCACTTGTGACAGAGACAAGCAACCAAGACAAGCAGTACATGATTTTGAACTGTATCTGCGGGGGGGAATATCGTACTGGTCGAACCACCTCATACGAAAAGGTACGAACCCGAGTCCAAGCAACTCAGCGAACAGGATGTCCATTCAAGATCAAGCTGTCCCGAGTACCTCAGAAAGATGCTTTCAGTGATGGATTTCGTCCTGTACTTCTCACCACCATCTGTAATTCTCATAACCATCCCCCTGTCAAGAAGCTACTACTTTCGCATCTACGAAAAACCTCCAGGACACCAGAGATAACTCGGTTGCTGCAAGATTATGTGGATAAAGGCTTCGGACCTCATCAGATCATCGACGTTCTCAAGAACCACCCCGACCGACCACTTCTCACACCTAACGACGTGAAAAACTTCAAGTACAGGTACAAAAAAAGTCAGCTTGAAGGTCATACAGCCACTGAAAGTTTATTACTACGTCTGCAGAGAGAAAAACGATTATTCAAGGCCCTTATCAACAGTCACAGAGAGACATTGGGGTTCGTATACACCACCCCACAGGCAAGAACTCTGCTTCATAGATACCCAACTGTCCTCATGATGGACTGTACCTATCGGATTACTCGTTATCGATTACCAATGTTACACATCACTGGCCTCACTGCGACAAACCTCACCTTTACTGCTGCTGTTGCGTTTATCTTTCGAGAGACTACAGATTGGTATTCCCTCGCCCTGAAAGCCTTTCTCGATCTAATGGGCCCTCTCAAGTACAATATTCAAGTGGTAGTAACCGACAGAGAAGTTGCTCTTGCGAACGCCCTTCGAATTCAACTACCTAATGCGAAACAGCAGTATTGTATCTGGCATCTTCGCGAGAATATCAGACACGCATGTGACAAAGCAAAATGCTTTGCAGACGAAGAAAATGATGTCTTGGCAAGGAAGAGGTTCGGGGACATGTGGATACAGGAAGTGGTAATGGCCACGACTGATTTCAAGCTTCAGCAGGGGATGGATAAGATCAAGGTTGAATTCTCGAAACCTAGTCATTTTCCAGCAATTCGATACATCGAACATCTTCTTGAAAGCAAGGAGAAATGGGCTCATGCTTTTACCAACAGAAACCGCAATCTTGGTCAGCATTCATCCTCAAGGAACGAAGGAGAACATCAAGCCTTGAAGAAATTTTTGAATTCTCACACTGGTACTTTACCATGGGTGTGTCACGGCCGTCAAACAACTACCTTCTGGCAGACCGACGGTCGACGAACCTCGGCTAACTTGACGCTCCTGAATCGATGTCTCACCCAACCGGGAGGGCGCAGACGTCGAAAGGAGTGTAACTACGGCGTACTTCGGCGTAGTTACTCTAACTGGGGTTTTGTTCTACTGATGGCGATGTATCTTGATTTGTATATAGCTTTCTCTATCTGTCTTTCACTACTGACAACAATCAAGGATCGCTGAAGAACTTCAGCGATCTTCTCAGCTAATATTATCTACTCCTCCTAGACGTTCATCCAACCCCCTCGCGCTTTGACGTACTTCAACGTACTTCGTCCAACTTCCCCGAGCCCTCGGCCATCCTCTTCCTCCTTCGACTAACTCCGCCTAACATCGCCGCACTTCTCCTCCCATTGTCCCTACTTAGCCTAACCCCGTCTAACTTCGCCGTACTTGGTGTCAGAAGTCCTGAGTTACGTGTAGAGTAAAGAGGTTAAGGCGTGATGGGGTTTTGATGGCCAAAGGAGGGTCATTGTTGGTGGAGTAATCGAGGTGTCACGACGTAGTTCGTGACAGGGTGGTAAAGAGACTCGACATCTTCCTAGAGAGACAGTGGGATAAAATCGTGCTCAAGGATGGTCAGCAAAGACAGCGAAATCCACTTGGGGATCGTCTTCTCAATGTAGTTTGTCGTGACATCTCCTCATTCGCCTCTGACAAGCTCGAACATCAACTGAAAGTTGCGAACAAGCTTCTTAAATCGTCAGCCAACCTTAACCAGTGTTCAGGAATCTTTGAGGGCTCTATGGGTCTCCCCTGTGCTCATACGATCGCGAATATTATGAGAAGAGACGGTATTTTAACCATCAATCAGAAACATCGTCATTGGAGACTGCAGGAAGTAGGATTCGATGTCTTGCTGCAAGAGACCAATGAGAGAAGTAATCATACAGCTCTGCAGGCCAGTGGGGTACATGAATTAGGTGACGAATTCGAGGCTGAAAATGGTTTTAATAACTACATCCTTGATCCTCCCCTTCAACTGGGTTTGCGAGCTCGGCAAGCAATTCGGTACCAATGTCACGACTCTACCGAGCGTGACCCGAGTTCACGTGATTTCAACACATTCCAACTGAATTCATGCGACTTCAATATGAGTTCCAATGAATTCATATCAGTACATGTGATATGACCATGATATCATACGAGTTCACCATGATACCACATGAGTTCACCATGATACCGTATGAGTTCACCATGAATTCATATGCATTCATCATGAATTCATACGTGTTCACCATGAATACACCTGAACCCATATGGGTTCAGTCAGAAATCACCTGAATATCGTGTGAAACCGTCATGAACTCACCAGAGTTCATACGAGTCCGCATGGACTCACCTGATTCCGGGAAGAATCCACATGATATCAGTGTGAATCCACATGATATCAACCCGGATGATTCTGAATTCATACGACGAGTTTGCGCATCACAAATCCCTTGGAAAAGGATATAAGGAGGCCATTTGTAGTTTGTAGTTTTCCTTTTCTCAAGGATCAAAATATTATTTGCCACTCACAAGAGACCTCTTCTTGACATATTACTTACAATCCAACACACCCTCACCATCATTACCCCTGTCCACGTCATCACATACACCCTTATTGTCATCTCGACTTGCCCGGATCCTTCGCAAGTCACTTTAGTCGTCCGACCACATCACAAGTCTACGGACAACATACTAACCGTCGTTGTCCAAGCTAATTAAACAGTTGCAGTCCACCTGTCTTTGATCCATTGAGGTCTGTCAAGGACAGGACCGTGACAACCAAGTAACCCAAGCTGCCAGTCAGAATACTTCTTCTCAGACCCCTGGGGTTCATGTGGTTCGTCCAATACCATTTTACAACTCTCAGCAAACCCCTACCACTGTCCCGACACCTTCAGGCCGTCCTGCAAGGTTGAGAACCTCGAAAATTCAGTCTATTCGTCCATTTCAAGCTCCGTCCGGTCGTATTCTGTCTCAAAGTGAGCAATCTGCTCCCTCTCGCCCTCTACCACCTAAATGTGACCTGTGTACCAAGAGACATGCGGAGACTTGGATGTGTGCAGCGAAGAAAGCAGTAGCAGCAAGGGAACAGGAGTTATTAGCTCGAATTCAAGCTGCAGGACAGAATAATGGACAAAGGACAGTGACTGCAGGGTCTGCGATGACGGAGAGGCCTGCTGAGATGGCGAGAACACCTTCTGAGATGGCGAGGACACTTCCAACAGTACGCATTTCATTGAAATCTGTCCTACCACTTCTCCTGCACGCCTGACAAAAGTTCTGGGCTAATGTATGCAGATAATCGCTCAATATCCTCCCTACCCCTTCTACCCTTCTCCCCAGTTGCTCCCAGGTGTCCCTGGGCCATCTAATTGGTACCAGAGGCCACCTACGTACCCTCCTGTACCGAATTACTTGAATTATCCACCTACCTTTTATCCACCCGTGTACCCGCCCCCGTATGTCGAAGAGGGGCTTGGAAATGGCTCAAACTTCGCAGAAAGGACTGTCCTGGACGCCAGGAACGGTGGTATGAGACAGGAATTCCCCCCTCGTGAGTATAGGCCATAAGACGTGTCAGATCTCATGGAGAGAGAGGGTGGAAGGAGGATGGATGTAACTCAGTGAGTTTCAACTTTCAAGCAGCAACAAGGGTATGTGCTGATAGAGGACAGTCTACTGTACATATCTACTCTGTTAGGGATGTTAATGCATGCTGAAAAGTGGTGAAGAAAAAAAAAATTCGACTGCATGTCTTTGAAGACGGGGAGGAGTGATGGAAGGGAGGCTCGAGCTTTGTGCACGCCTATCTGCTTCCGTTGGAAATTTATGCATGCCTAACTCGGGGGTTGTGCCCGAAGACGAAAGTGGTTGTGCGCCAAGTCGTCGTCGTCCAGTCCCTGTCAGGATCACGCGGTACCACGGGTACCTTACCATGTAGTCGTACTCTTTTTCCATTCCCGTCCCCGTCTCCATTCCCGCGTCCGGGCTTACTCCGTTTGCTACTATGCCTGGTACCATTCCTTCGACACCTCTACCCTTTTTTACATCTCCGTCTCGGTAACTATCATCGCTCTTCCTCTCCTATTCTACCTCGACTTCATTCCAAACTACGCATGCTCTTATCGGTATCATCCCGCTCTCTTTTTAGTATATAGACGTAGTCTTTTCTCAGCAATGTCTTGTCGAATGTATTTTGTGTTTTCCTAGTTATATCATTTGACATACATCTCATCGATCTTACAGATCTCTTCGATACACTACATCACTAGGTTTGTTCCCTACAAGGCCTCATTGTCATAGCTCATCGACGCAGACTATCCCGACGTCTGGTCCTTACAGTCCCACAAGGCGTCTTTCGATGGTTGACGATTAACCTTACGGACCGTTGTTGTCAAGTGTAGAATAAAGGTGGATTGATGAGCGATTACGGGAACAACAAACCATGCTAGAACTGAAGAGGTAGGGAGGCGGAGGAGGGGGGGGAGGGGGCGGGGAGGTCGTCCTGATCGATAAGAGCGAGTAGTAGATGACGAAGCGGTCGGAAAATCCGGGGGTGATGTTTCAGTTGGATACTGAAAAGCCAAAATAAGGTCACATCATGGATCCTGATCCTCCGACTATCGTAGACACGAGAGCAGGTCCGCTAAGCGATATGACGAGTGATTACTGATTCGAGTAGAAGGAAGTAAAGCTCGCAAGGAGAAGCTGGCGTTAGAGTCGTTAGCTCCTGTTGAACTTTCCGAGTCCGATAGCTGCCAACACCAAATGAGTAGACCTCATAATTATGATCCTCGTGAGTAGTTCTGTGAATAGATGCATCATTCCATAAGCTCCAGATTCCTCGTTAGTGACTCTTCTCCAGGAGTCATGCGGGATCAGACGTAGACTCATCGTTTTCAGGTGGCTCTCCTTGTCCCGACCCATCTGCCGGAGTGGGTGACTGCTCTTCATTTGCGGAGATCGGAGCAGACTGATTGCCGATGAAGCGCTGAATCAAGGTGACTGAATTAGGGTTTCCACTTTTTGAGGAACCCATACCAGGAGGTTTTGGTCGTAATACTGAGCCTGCCAGCCCCACAGTTCCGCGTCCCCGTATCCTTGAAGAGGCGTGGAGGGGGTACCACCAGGTGTGAACGCTACAGAGGTAGAAGCAGTAGGGAACATCGGTGCAGCAGCACCTGACGACTGTCCATTGTTCGAAGGGTCGTCCGTTACAGCGTTCGCCGATGACGAAGCCGTGACATCACTATACGGGGGAGGATCCGTCGAGGGTGTTGTGCCCGTTGGGGTTTCCCCTTGGGAATCCGTAGTAATGGCACCAGTGTTGGTCCCATCATCTGTTGTTCCAGACATGCCTTAGTTTATTTTCCAGTGAGTCAGAGAGAAGATCGATGTCAAAAATATGTAGTGGTGAAGAAATCCTCACTATTATGAGGGTTTCATATACTATTTCAACTCGAGCTGAGTTGGAAGTTTGATCGTTTGACCGAATGAGTGGGAAATGATAATGTCATCCTTGGGTAGAATCTTCCTTCGGTTTCTACGCTCGTCATAGATACGCTCATGACAAGATTGATATGTTGTCTTCTTCAAGCACCGCAATTTTGGGGAAGTTAACACAGGTTGTCAGGAATGATACTCCGGTCCTGGCCGGCCTGTCAAATCTTTACCTTGTAGTGGTCATCAGTGTGAGAAGACAGTCAGTGATTGTACAATCTCAGATAATTGGTTGGGTGGAAGAAGTCTTGAATGGATATTGTCATCGGGTGAATGTCATGTCAAGGTTCATGGATCTATATTAAGCAGTATATTACACATACATCTCATTAGCAGCTGAGTTAACATCGCTATAGCCAGACCGGTGTCGGAACTACATAAGTTACGGCTCAGTCGAGTCAGATTTTAAGACTTGGGACTGTTTTTCGATGCACTGACCTGACTTGTATTCCCAGCTCCATTTATTGGAACAGCCTCAGTATCAGCTGTAGATGCCATAAAGCTGTTTCCGAAGGTTTGTTCGGAGATTGGAGAGGGATCAGAGGAGTTAATGGTGGAGATTCCCAGGGGCGGAGAGGATACTACGCTTCGAGGTGGTGCGGTCAGCAAGACAGAGAATTTGGAGGGGGTAGCAACGGCACCGGAAGAGTGCGAGGGTGGGCGAAAAAGCTGACCAGATTTGTCATCATGAATGAACGAGATATCACCAGATCTGTGTCACGAACTACGTCGCGACACCTCGATTACTCCACCAACAATGACCCTCCTTTGGCCATCAAAACCCCATCACGCCTTAACCTCTTTACTCTACACGTAACTCAGGACTTCTGACACCAAGTACGGCGAAGTTAGACGGAGTTAGGCTAAGTAGGAACAATGGGAGCAGAAGTACGGCGAAGTTAGACGGAGTTAGGCTAAGTAGGGACAATGGGAGCAGAAGTGCGGCGATGTTAGGCGGAGTTAGTCTAAGTAGGGACAATGGGAACAGAAGTACGGCGAAGTTAGACGGAGTTAGGCTAAGTAGGGACAATGGGAGCAGAAGTGCGGCGATGTTAGGCGGAGTTAGTCGAAGGAGGAAGAGGATGGCTGAGGGCTCGGGGAAGTTGGACGAAGTGCGTTGAAGTACGTCAAAGCGCGAGAGGGTTGGATGAACGTCTAGGAGGAGTAGATAATATTAGCTGAGAAGATCGCTGAAGTTCTTCAGCGATCCTTGATTGTTGTCAGTAGTGAAAAACAGATAGAGATAGCTATATACAATTCGAGATACATCGCCATCAGTAGAACAAAACCCCAGTTAGAGTAACTACGCCGAAGTACGCCGTAGTTACACTCCTTTCGACGTCTGCGCCCTCTCGGTTGGGTGAGACTTCGACTCAGGAGCATCAAGTTAGCCGAGGTTCGTCGACCGTCGGTCTGCCAGAAGATAGTTGTTCGACGCTCGTGACAATCTGGAGGCCTCTGTAGGGAGATTCGAAGGTGAGGACATGTAGCGTAGAGAAACAATGGACGACCAAATGAACAAAGCTTAAATATTGATATAAGGTTGTAGATGTCACGACTCACAGCAGTTGATGATGAGTTCAACAGCTAATTCGTTGTACTGCCCCAAACGCAGGTCCTTGGTACTCCGCCGTCTCTTTCTCTGCCGGCCATGAACCAACCATCGTATCGCCCCAATCCTCCCGTTGTTGTCCGTCATCACAATTCAACGTGAAGCTCGTATGCGCGTCATCGCTCGTCAACTCTGAATAGTATCGCTATCGCACTGCTTGGCATTGCTTGAGTAGAGATCTATAGGAAGGTCAACTTTCGATGATTTCTGTATCGAGAACAAGCGGCGGCCGATGTCATGGAGTGTTTCGTATAAAGTTGTTGTACTATGCGTGATACTTATGACCTGATGACTTGAGAAAAGATTCCGTGTCCTCGACTTGCTTGACGACGAACGAAGAAAGCTTCCTCCGGGCGCCGGATAGAAAGGAAGAGGAGATGGTGCCTGTAACTTTATGCCATCTAGGCACCATGCCCGACGGTCATGTCCTGCCATCGTCCAGATCGAAAGGCAGTCACCTCTCACTCCAACTCCGTACTCACCGCAAACCACTTTCCTCCCCATCGGTCATGGATACAACTCGTCGTCATTGTCAAGTATAAAATCCACCTACTCCTCACATCCTATTCATCTGTGTCAGTAACAGCGTGTTCTGTATAGAGACGCGCGGACCATCAATATTGGATCATCAGCAATGTCTGCCAAAGCAGTAGTAACCGCTACCATCCGTGGTATCCAAGTGCCTCCTATGGCTATTGGTACTTGGTCATGGGGTGATACATCTACTTGGGGTTACAAACCGGAAGATAATGCAGGTATCAAAGAAGCTTGGGAAGCTTGTAATAGGGTTGGCCTGACATTTTACGATTCTGCGTGAGTACATAGCTTGTTTCATGGTTATGAGGATGTTGATGAAAATAGGGAAGGATATGGTTGGGGTGAGAGTGAAAGAATGATAGGACGTTTGTTGAAAGACACCGATCCTGAGATTAGGAAGAAGATTTATATCGCAACCAAATGTGAGTTGTTTATCAACATTATACGCAACACATCTCTAACTGGACCAACCTATGATGATTGATCAGATAGACACTTCACCTTTCTTTTGTCTTATCTCGTCAATAAGGATGTCGAGGTGTCAGATGAAAGGACTGACAACAGATCTGCCTTGGCCTAACCATAAGAATTTCTTCCTCTGGTCACCTGGTGTGATCTCGGCTTGCACTAAATCCCGTGACCGTTTGGGTGTAGAAATGATCGACCTCTATCAGGTCAGTCATCACAACTCGCATCTCACCCTCTCCCCTTTTCACCCGGTCCCAGCTTTCACACAGATCGTCAAGTCCTCCAATTACCACATGAAAACTTTCCTTGACCCCTCAATAAATTGGGGACCGCAGCTCGCGAATCCCTCTATGTATGACATGTAGTGAATGTAGCTCCAGACAAACGTTGACACAAAGGTTCATATTCCTCTATCGATCCACTCTTTCGAGTCAATCGCTCGTGAACTCGCTCAATGTGTCAAAATGGGGTTATGCAGAAACGTAGGAGTCTCCAATTATTCTCTTCAAGAAGTGTAAGTTACTCTTTCTCACATTTCCCCTCACTCGAAGAAAGAAAAGTTGATAGAGAGAATCCGAATGTCCGATGCATTAGAGAAAGAAGGCGTTTCTTTAGCTTCTAATCAAGTCGAATTCTCTTTACTTCATCAGTTACCGGATACGAAGGGTATGTTGTCCGAACTGAAGAAGAGGGATATAGCTATGCTTGCTTGTGAGTCTTACAACCCATTCTTGTCATGTCTTTCCCTGTCTTTGTCAGCTTCACTTGTCTTTCGTCATCTGAAAGTATTGGTAATTAGTCTTGGAAGAAGTTATCCAGCTGGTCAATTAGCAATGAGCTGAACTTCAGATTCTCCTTTGGCAATGGGTCGTCTTACTGGAAAATACGGTCCGGAGAATCCTCTTCCTAAAGGTAGAGCGTATGTCTTCTCCTCTTCTCCTCCCTTTCTTCCTCCCTCTGGCCCTCAATTTCACTCTTATCCCTCTCCCAAAGAAGATCTACCCAGTTGGCGAAGCCTGATGTTGTGGTATGATCCCTCTGGTCAAACCCATTCGTCATATCTGTTGTTCTTCTGTTTCATGTCGTATCAGGGACATGGAGACTAACAAGTATGACAAGTGGTAGACAGAACGAAGGTTCAACGCTGATTCTATAGGTTTGGCGCAGGTCAAACCTGGGAACAACTAGAACCTCTCTTCACGGAAATGAAAGACCTCGCTACCAAATACTCGGTGTCCGTTTCGGCCATAGCTTTAAATTGGGTGATTCGGAAAGGTGCCATACCTCTCGGAGGAGCTAGAAACGCTAGACAAGCGGAACAGAACGCCTTGGCCGCTACTTTCAGTTTGACCGATGAGGAAGTAGCAAGTCTTGCTAGTCAAGGTACAGAGGGAAAATAGTGAGTGTTTGTGAGATCGTCAGTGAGATGAGCTCATCATGAAGTCATTGGATTCAACATGGATAGCTCGAATTCGGGTCAAGGACCGCGTCTTGGACAATATCGTATGGGTGGAGATGAATTGTGATTATCGTTTGAACAGGTTTTTTTTTGTAAATTTAGAACTTGAATGCTAGAGTTTGTTGACAAGATTGTCAGTGTGTACATACAAGTCACCAAGCTACACTCTTGCGCGCGATGCTGTGTTTGTGAGGTCATCTCAAAGCGGAACTAAGCCTGTTGAAGCCCATCCGCCGACATACATCTCACAGTGATATGTATGATGCATGCGTGCAGCCAGCCATGGCTACTGTGAACGATACTCGTACTCGTACTGTCAATGATGGCACTCAAGTCCACTTATCACTGACTCTCTACCTCGGCGTTCACCTCCTTCCCCTCCTCCTCTTTAGACGACGCCGCAACCTCCTGGTCCCACTCAGCAACCCAGTTCACGATATCGTTCCAGGTCTCACACTTTACCAACCCATCTCGGTCCTCGATGGGGGGATACGACAACTCTACTCCCGCCGCCAAGCGTTCTTCATAAGTCATGATCTCTTCCGCGGTCTGGCAGCTCGTGGCGTTCTTGCTCCATGGCCAGCGGGTGAACAAGATACAAGGAATTGGAGGCGTGGCGTTGAGGATGGGAAGGAGGTTGCCGTAATGGTCATCGATGAAAACTGCAGCGTTGATATCGCGAAGAACCTGAAGATTAACTGATACTCCCCCGTGCGTGGTGATATGAGAAATGAAATTGCAAGGTGATCTTCCAGACGTATTACTCACCTTAAGCTTTCCTTGACCTCCTTTACCCATTCCAACAGCTTTCCAAACTTCTTTAAACTTCGCATTCAACTCCTTTTCTCTCTCAAGACCTTCAGGGGTATCTTCCTTGTCCGGAATCTGGGCTTGCGCAGCATCGTAAGTCCCCACGAACCATATCTCCTTGATAAGGTCTTCCTCGTTATCACCCACCGTTACGCCATATTTAGCCAGCCATTCGATGACAGGCCCACGATGATGTTCGGCTCGCGAAGTGACAATGTGTAGCTCATGACCCATTTCGCGAAGCGCTTTCAAGCCATCTACGAAACCATCTACGGGTTGGGTCGTCGGAAGTAGATATTCCATCAAACGAAGTCCACGACCCACATCGGCATAATTGCCCCACCCACGGTTTTGATGGGGGAAATAAGTTTTCGCATCCTCACTACAATCTCAGCATATTCCAGCTTGACAAGAAAAGACTAGAACTCACATGGTCAGATCGAGATTGTGTAATTTGTTTATTTCAAGTTGCAAAGCTTGGTAGTTTTGAGTGAAGACATCGTCAAAGTCAATGGCGATGACCCTGTTATTCTTCACTTCAATCTTGGACGCCAGCTGGACCTCGTGTGGAGGCATTTCACGCGGGTGTCCAATCATACTATCCCAGTCTGGACGTTTGGCACCTTTTGGACCTGGAAGGAAATAATCCCCGTCCTTGTTCCCTCCTGGACGGGAAACTTCAGGATCGTCTTGGTAATTGAAAAGGGGAGTGGTAGGAACAGATCCTTGTACGGCGATCAAACTGAAGTGTTGTGCGGGAGATCGAATACCGGCAGAGAACCCGGAGGCGTAATGAGCGTAGTTCGCTGCGGTATCGGCTGGTGAATGTGGTGGTTCTTCGCCCGTGGCGGAGTCGACGAATGAATGAGATACTGACACTTCGGTATTGGTTGATGCTTGCCTAGTGGCAAAAGTCGGTGAGAGAGGATTGGGAGTTTCTGGGGTTTCGGACAGGTTCTCAGAAGGATGAGTGGCGTGGGTCGGATTGGAAAGATCTCGATGATTCATCTTGCAAGTTTATTTAAGTTACTTGTGGGTCTTGTGATCACGGTCGGGCTACCGGTCAGGGTTTGATCGATATACCTACGCTAGGAAAAGATATCAACTCTCTGATGGAAGATTCCGGTAACAAGAACAGTGTCAAAGTTGAGGATGATGACGAGTGGAATGAAGTGGTGGAGTGGGTAGGATAAAGAGAAGTCTTCTCTCACACGTCATTCTCCCCCTCCTTTGTTCACCTCTACTTGGGTTGTTTGATAGATCCTTACACTTCCCCTCTGCCTCCTGGAAGGGCGTTTCCCCAGACTTGCCCAGATAGGACAAGCACCACTTGCTATGATCCGAGGGAGACGGGGGTGAAAAGACGCTCGAACCATCTAACTTACCCACGTACAACTCGTCACACACGGGTTCAAGGGTGTCGGAAGTAGAGCTCGGTCGCGATCAGTCGAAAGTTTACTCTGTATGCCGTCCTTTCTGGGATGTGACCTCCACCTTAACACCATCCCTTGGTGGGAGTAGAGGACTGGGGTACTCCCTACGTTGCTGACGAGGATCGTTATGTCTAGTCTGAGTGAGAATGAAGAAGGACACAGAGCCAAGGACGACGAGCCCGCCGAGGATAAGAGGGTTGGGACCTTTACGGGACGAGCGTATTGGGGTGGGAGTGGACATGGACGATGATGGGAAGAGAGGCGGTTGATGGAAGACGGTCTCTACTAGGTGCGGGATTGACGATTCTCAATAAGGCTCATGCAGTAGATGACGAGATGAAAGTTGAAAGAGAAGTACATAAGTCTGCACCGTCGTCATGTCATGTACAGGGCCGTTTTCACCCGATGTGGCGACCGAGTACCTTAAGTCACTTTGGGATTGAGACAGCAAGAGATATAGATCATCGGTATATGCCATGAGCAACATCAACGACGATCCTCATGCCCCTCATCAGCATGTACAGGTCTGTGAGATCTGTAGCCAGCTAAGTGGTCTACCAACTCCCAAAGTCACAACTCATCTCACCTCGGGAGGTCTCGTTGGACTCCCCAGCCCACTCGGTGTCGACTTTACCTCGACGCTCGTCTCCCCTGGAGCGGTGCTCGTCCCTGCTCGACTGAGTATAGGCTCAGAAGGTGATTGTTCTATTCGTTCTTGCCCTGTCAAATCAGCAAATTCCTGTACAGATGACCTTCTGAGGTCACGAGGGTGAAAAGGTCAGAATAGCGAATGACTGCCTGCACAACTCACACGACAGCTTATCCATAGGTCTGGCACCTCTATACTTCTGATCTTGTCTCCGAGCATCTATATCCTTCTTCGCATAGTAGTACGCCCCAGCTCCGGCGACTATGAGGACCTATTATGGTCAGCTTGTCACTGTTGGGGCGGACCTCGGAAATCCGAGCGGCATGGCAGCATATTGCCTGATAGCGAAAGTCGACTCACACCCCAGCCGTATATCTATCTTCTTAGCTTAATACTCAAGGGTCAATGTAGCACTCACGACAGACTTGACAGTGTTCATACTTTTCAACAACTTGACTATAAGATAGAGATACGCAACCAGATTGGGATTTGAGTTTCGTCTTGACCTTTCTTTCGTTGGTCAGTCCGGATCTACCCGAACATGAACATTTGCTCAACCCTATCTTATCGCTTCGATCTTGGCCCCTCCTCCTCCTTTCCTTCATCTCCAACATGAGTGCTTCAATGTCCGACAAGTTTCAAGTGTCTACATCTCTCCCTCCTTCCTCTCCCCGTGGTCGATACTCGCAGTCCTCATTCCTCGCCCTTGTGACTATCCTCTTCTGTTTCTTCTCCTTCACCACCGATGTCCTTCCCCTACCTCGATTCCTTGATCGTGGTTGGAATGCTCATCGTGCAGCTTTAGAAGCTGCCAAATGTCCCTCGCAACCCAAACCTCTGAATGTAGGTTCGGACTGGGACCCTCTCAAAGACTCCAAGTACGCCTCACTAGCCGCCGAGAGACTCTCAAAGGCTGTACAAGTAAGAACTGAATCATTCGACAACTTCATTTACTTACCTGCCAACGATAGTCAATATGACAAATTCTTCGCTTTTTCTTCTTTCCTCGAAAAGGAGCTGCCCAAAGTCTACTCTGCTTTGAAACATGAAGCGGTCAACACCCACGGACCTCTCTTCACATGGGAGGGGAAACAGAAGGATTTGAAACCGATTTTGTTAATGGCGCATATCGATACGGTGCCTGTAAATCCTGATACGGAAGATCAATGGGTGTTTCCTCCTTTTGCTGGAGAAATAGCGGTGGATGCTACTCCTGAAGCTACAGGGACGTGGATATGGGGAAGAGGTTCTTCCGATTGTAAGAATAGTCTCATGGCTATCTTGGGATCTGTGGAGAGGTTGGTCAGTGAGAGATTCGAGCCGGAGAGGACAATCTTGCTTGGTTTTGGCTATGATGAGGAAGTGAGTTCATACTTCTTCAATCATATTCATCCAAGCGTAATACAAGAGGCGTGTGGAGGAATTGGAGAATCTCACTACCGATGCACGAGCTGATGAATAGATAGGAGGTTGGAAAGGGGCAGGAAGTCTGGCAAAACTTTTGGAAGAGAGATACGGTCCAGACTCGGTGGCATTTCTAGTGGACGAAGGATTCTCTGGATTAGCAGAGGAATATGGTAATATGTTCATGAGTTTGGGAATGGCGGAAAAGGGAGCGTCAACGTTTCATATCAAGGTGGAGACCCTTGGAGGACATTCAAGTGTTCCTCCTCCTCACACAGGCAGTGAGTCTGAACATCATCTCGTAGTATCTTATCTCAATCACATATATTCAGAAACCCTCCTTAGCCAACTGCTCTAGCTCATGAGCCTTACCCCTTCGTTGACTGTCAGTGTGGGGTGGTCGGGGGGAGCTACATGGAGGGGAGATCTTGTAACAAGAGAGAAAGAATGTCACTAATTATATAGTCGGAGTCATGGCACAACTCTTGATTGCACTTGAATCCCATCCATTTGAACCCTCCCTTGTTCCCGCTTCTCCATATATGAAATACCTATCTTGTCTATTTGAATACGCCCCTGATATCCCTCGATCACTGAAAAGGAGAGTTCGACATCCGAAAATGTGGAAAAAGCTCGCTAGGGACTTGGCCAAATCCGATCGAATTTTGAATTCGTACTTGTCTACCACCCAGGCGATCGATATCATCCATGGAGGTGTCAAAGTGAATGCTCTTCCGGAGTTGGTAGAGGGTAAGCATTCTTCCTATTCACATTCGCTTATCCCCGAACACCTCTTCTCTCACTTGATAGGCCCTGGACATGGCCGGTGATGAAGATCAAACATGTATGGAATGAGTACAGTCAGTGAAAAGGATATGGAATGGAGTTTGATAGTTGACCAAATAGCTCAAATCAATCACCGTATTTCCTTGTAAGTCTTTTCTAATTCTGGATTTATTCAACAGTGGAGTTTCGTTCAGACTGATGAAATAGTACTTCCTCAGTTAAGGAAACTATCGACCATTTCAAATCTGTCATCACTCCTATAGCTGAAAAACTCAATTTTACTCTGTCAGCATTTGACAATTCCCCTAAGACCTCGGAACAACACATCACCATCGGTGTCACCTCATCAGGCGGACAAGGACAATTGGAACCTGCTCCCATTACCGAACCTGACACTCAAGCTTGGGAATTGTTAGCAGGGACATTGAGACATATGTTTGGGAAAGAAACGATTGTTGCTCCTACTGGCATGTTTGGTGAGTGGACTTGACTATTTTTATGAATCTGATTGAACAACCCTTTTCATCCGTTTGTCAGACCCAATAGTCGTTTAGTGGGGTCTCTCTCTCTCTCTATATATATAACACCTCATCTCATATCTTAGGATGAGGACAGAGAAGTGATGATTCCACATTTTTGTAACTTGATCTATGGATTTCGGTAACTGACTCATAGCTAATACAGATACAAAACATATGTGGAAACTCACCAAAAACTTGTATCGTTTCATGCCTGCTTCAATCACCGGTGCGGCAAATATCCACACTGTCAACGAAGTGAGTTACTTCATCCTTCTTTTCCCCTTACGACGTTGATAAAAAAATAGAGACTCAGTCTTGATGCTCATCTCAACACCACGAGGTTTTATTATAAACTTCTTCAAAACGTTCAAACTTGGAAAGCAGATTGACCCATAAATCCAACCTTTCACTTTATATGGACTGTACGAGTAAATTGAACTTTTTCAGATGAGAGGACTCAAATTTGTTTTTCGTGATTTTGTGTATAATGATGAACTTTGTATCAAACATTGATCTGGGACCTTTGGAGAGATGAAACGAGTCAAAAATGCGTTTAGGTGTTTGTGTATAGTCAGGAACCTTGTGTTTAACATCGATGAAATAATCGTTTTGTTCAAAGGTTTATAATATGCATGATCATGAAAATATCAAGTTTGACTTACTCTACAACTCCCGCCATGTCCAATTCTAACCCTGGATCCTGTTCTAAAATCTCGAGGTCGAACTCGAAATCAGAGTCGATTTCCAATTTGGGCTTTTTAACATCTTCAACTTCCACCTCATCTTCAGCTTTCCTTTTGCTAGTTTCGAAATTCAAATCTTTCTCCTTTGTCGCATCGGTCCCATTGATGTCATTCCTCCTATCCAACTTGTTCCCATCGTTTCCCTCATTTACGTGATCTTCAAGAATATCTTTTTCCACCTTGACAACGTGTTCTTGATCGTCAGTTCCTTTCACACATGAGAGTTTCCTTTTATTATCCCCTTCCACCAAACTGCCCGCTTCGTGCTTTCCTCCAAGACTTGATTGTTCTACATCATCGTTGGCGCGATCACCTAAAACGTCGACCAGGGTCTGTACTTCGAATTCACCCTTTGACTCCACAACAGGGGATTTTGACGTGATTGACAACGGTGGAGATATTTTCGGTGAATTTTGTTGCTCATGTTTCATCGCGACATCTTGCATCACTTCGACATGATTTGTTGTTGGTTTTTTCGGTGAATCGGGATTGGGTAAAGTTAAATTTCTTAATCCTGATGTAGGCGTCCTAATTCCATCTTCCGTACCTGGAGTAAGACTCAATCGAGGACTTTTACTTCCTGTTCTACGACCACCGTCCATCAAACGAGCAGCCACTACAGCTGACATTTGTTCGGCTCGGCATGTAGCGTGATAAATCTTCAACGTCAGCTGCGTTTTTCTTCACTTTGTCGCATCAAGACACGAATACTGAACTTTACCATGACGTTGATTCTCTCATATTGAACGATGCGGAGGAAGAAATCCGGGATTAAAGAAGATGAGAAGGTGCTGCTCAACATTCGACATACATCGGTCGAAAGATGGAGTGGATTTGTCCCAGAAGATGGATGAGAAGAATGGGATGTTGGTTCGGAAGGGAAGTGGGAGTGGGAGTGAGGGATGAGTCAGGGATATCAAATGGAATGATGCAGAGAGAACTAAATGGGAACGTGTGAAATGAAAGAGATAAGGGGGCAAAACTAAACATCATATTCACATTACCATTAACATTCAGTGCATTCTTAAAAACCCATTCTTCCTCTTCTTCACTCCATTCGCCTTTAAAAGTCTCTTTGCATATTGGACAGGGTTTCGCGGCCAGTGCCGGATCACTCGGTACTGCAACCCATCTTTTCTTCAACTGTGCCATTTTCTCCGCTGTCAACTTCCCCTTGCCCTCTTCCGTTTTCACTCCCGTCACATTGGAAGGTCCTGCTGTACTTTGACCCGAGCCAGAAGCGACAGCATTGTTGGTCATTAGATCTGATACCCATTCTTCAGCTCTTGGCAACCAACGTCGATGAGCACCCCTTCCCTCCGTCTCGCGTTCTTTTCGGTTTCGACGGAAATGCCAATCGAGATGTTCCTGCATTTGTGTACCTATTCCTGGGAAACGGAGGCCACATTGTTTGCATCGTTCTGGCAGATGATCAAGGGGTATTTCACGGTCAGGGAGGGATACGGTCAAATCGAGATTTTGCAAATTGACATCTTTCATCGATAATATAAGATCTTCATACTCGTCCAACACATTTCGAGGTTTGACCTCTAAAAGCGGAGTTTGAGGTTTACTGAGAAGAGCGGCAGTGTTGAGGTTTTTGAGAATGTTGGCAACGTCTAGCGGCATGGTAAAATTAGGTATACTGGGTGTGGTGGCGGGAAGAGGGGCGGGCGCGATCATCGGGGTCGAGGAGCGAGGTTCGGGAACAAAAGACGATTGTGGTCGAGGGGGATACGCTGGATTGGGAGGAAGTAGGGTAGGCGCGAAAGGTGGTAGAGGTGTGTGAATACCTGGAGCGGGTTGTATGGGAGCAGGAGGTGTCCAAGTATTGACTGGTTGTGCTATTGGTGGCGGAATGGGTGGTCGAGGTGGTGTGGTGGGGGGTGGCGGTGCTG